AGCGAAAATAAGTGAATAAAAATGTAAAAGCTAGTTGACGATAATGATACGAAGACAAATATACTTCATCCCACTTTCTCTCTCTCTCTATATATATATAGATATTGTTGCTTGTTTCTTCCTTTTATTGGTAATTTTTATAGCCACTTGTTTTAAGAGTGAGCGTGTTTCGTTTATTGCATGAAAGACTTCTTATCTTTTCCCTATTTCAAGAGTTTTTACGAAGTTTCTGTGTGTCAAGCAAGCAAGAGATAACAAAACGAAAATAAAATGCATTGTCATTCAAAGCAAAGAAAACGAAATATGATAAAAAGAATTTATTCATGTTGTTCTCATTTTTGTTGGAGTCATAAAAGTTTTTTCCCAGACAGTCAGTAAATATTATGTGGTGAATGTGGGCTGTGGGTGAGTAGCATGACGATGGCTGTGGCAAAGAGTGTGACTCTAGATGGAAGGATGTCAATAAATGAAGTACTTTGATCCACATCCACTTTCACACCCACCCACACCAGCGCAAAATACTAGCTTTAGACTCACTTTTAGTATTTACAAGATCAAAACATATCTCTGTTGAACGTGTAGCAAAGACTATATTTTAGTTATAAGAATTTTGGTTGATGATAAGGTTTTCAATTTATACAGTCTTATTTTATAAAGTTATAATCTAGCATCATCTATTAATAGAAAAAACAGAAATGTCAATGGTGTTTATGAATATTCAATCGATGCTAGGCTTTTTCAGTCGACTATTCATTCATTCGTTATGATTATCAAATAATGTGGTGTTTAAAATAAATGAATTGAATATAAATTAAACAACATGAATAAACTCAATAAATCACTTGAATTTTTAAAATTACTTTCAACAACACCATCAAAAATATGAATAATCAAGTAATTAATTGGATCTTTTTCTGTTTTTCATTTTGTTTATATCTCTTATAGAATGTTTTTCTCATCTAGAGGTAACAATGAAAATTATTTTAAATTAATTAAAGCTAGGGTGGAAACATTATTTACAACATGTGGCGAAAATGATTATAATGTACGATTCACTGCCGATGAAAATCTTAATCAACTTGTTAAAGTATTAGAAAAGAATTTTTTTGTATAATTTTTTATGGATTGTAAAATAGAATTTAAAAGGAGCAGTGTTAACAAGAATTCAAGTTGAATTACATCGAATTATAAATCATAATCCTAATGTTGAACCAAATGCTTTAAAAGGTTATTTCTAATATTTGACTTAAATTTATAATAAGGATTTTTTTTAATTTCGACTAGGTGTTGTGTGGCGATTTGTCGAATTAGCAAATGTAATACATCCGAAAAAGATTCAACCATTTTATCAGAATATTATGAACTTATTTTTCGTAGTCTTGGTCGACCGATTAATGATAAAGAAATTAAAGTAAGTAAAACCAAAATCTTTGCCGTCTAAGACAAGTTTTTTAAAGAAGTAATCAGAAAAATGTCATACGGTTGAATAGAAATATAGAAAAGAATTGCTCTACCATGTTTCGGTTAAAATTTCTAGCATGAGAGGATGTTTTTTAGAAAATGTAGAATAGGTAGTCTGATACTATTTGACGAAATACGAACTGAGAAACTATCTATCATTTGAAGCGATCTGCCATCGAAAGTAATCGAGCGTAGAGTTTCATGCAACTTAAGAATGGTTTAGTCATAGGAGTTCACTGGCTATCGTGATAGTTAAAGTATGAAGTCTAGTCAGAATGAATTTTTCTTTTCCTAATATTAACAATACATAATTTTCTTTTGAAATATATAATCAATGACTAAATTATTCTTAGGAACATCTCATGTCCTATTCGGCAAATATGTTATCCCATGGTTATGGCACGTTTTCTAATGACAAATGTAATTGGTAGAGTTTCTTTCAGATAATGATTTCAATCCATTATAATTGTCTTTTATTTTAATAGATCAATTACTTGAACATCAAAATCAAAATGCTAGTACACATTTAATAATTGATTATCTTGATTTAATAAAAAATCTTATTCAATTACTTGGTTATTCAGATTTATTTGATTTTGATCAATTATTAATTTCAACCCAAATTGGATCTATAGAAGAAATTCGTGTTAGTGAAGCCTTAAAAACAGGTAAATATTGAGAAAAAAATGCAAGAATTTTTTTTCATTCGTTTTTTTCTAAAACAATAGCTTATTCAACATATCAACGTTAATTTATTGAAATTAATAATGAATTCGATTCAACATCAATGATTAATAATGAAATGTGCTATACCAATATGCCTATCGTATTTATCAACAATTTGGTCGATTTGATTACCTTATTGAAAGTATGTTTAATACTTGTTTGAGGCTTCTTTTTGTAAAGTTTCATTTCAGTAAAATAGATCTATTTTACAATCCAAAATTATTTCTAATGTCGTAACAGTAGGAGGGCCTAGGTGAAGGGAATTGTGGCAGCGTTTAGGTGACGTGGCTTCAATTGGTTAAGGTCTCAAAGTTTTAGTGAAAGTTATCTGATAGATATGACAATTTCACTATTAAATTGTTGAAACATATATATATATATTGGAATCTGAAAATTCAAGAACGGAGATTTCTCGATATTGATTCAGGAACTCTAGTCCTATTCCTACTTTTAATTTTTTTGAAACCAACAAAAGACTAGAACATTATCAGACTCGAAAAGATGTCAAGTAGAACATTTTATTGAAGCTCAAAGCCTGCACCAATACATCAGAGATTGAAATTATACAATCACACAATTACCTCAAAAAATAGTTCTAAGCTGACGTTCGAGATATGAAATCAATTGTATCCTTTAAGGAGTTTTTCTTTAGTCTTTGAAAATTTTTGATCAGATATAATTTTGTAATTAAAATAGAATTTTCTAATGAGAAAAATGAAATTCTCATCTCTATATGACTCGAAATGCATTAAAATTTATCGAACATCAAGGTATCTTTTTTTTAAGATATTACATATATTTTATCTTTATGTGAATACGGTGATCTACATTTACGTGGTGCATGTGCAAATTTACTTGTTACATTAATTCAAACAACAATTCATCTTTTAACACTATCATCATTATCAAATTTATTTAATAATTCTTTTATTAATTAATGCTCACTTATATCAACTGATTCACAAGACAGTTCAAGGCTATATGTCTTAATGATAATAATGCACGTGTTATACATGTTTCATTAAATGCTTTACGAACATTATTACCTTTTTTATTAATTAATAGTCATGCATTTACAATCATAGGAATTGAATTATTGAAAGATTCTATTCAACATACTACAAGTTCCTGTACTCTTGCTCAAGTAGATAAAAGAAATTTATGATTATAACAATTTTTTTTTGTATGTATATAAAATAGGTTAGTCTAGCTCAATTTATAGATGATATTGATTTTCGAATATTAACTTATCTTGAACAACAACAATTAAAACAACAGTACCCTGATATACGTGTTCGTCAAGCAACTGCTTCGACTTTTGCTAAGTATGTATTTTGTAGAGATATTAACTAGGTAGCTTTTTTTCGAATTTGAATGAATAAGTCGATTTTATTGCATGTTAGTTATTAGCTACTTTTTGATTTTAAGGTTTTGTTGATCACAATTCATTTTTACCATGTCAATGGATATATAAAATTCATCATTCATTACAAGCTCAAGCATCAACTGGAATACAAATTGCTTGTTATTTTTGTCTTGTATATAGGTTGTATGTTTAGAAGATATTTATGTTCTTTCAAATGTTTTATGAACAACAACAATTCGACCAATTTTTTCATAATCAATATCATGAACTTCGTTTATTTATAATTTTTTTTAAACATCCCTTTATATTATATGATCTTAATAATTTAATCTTTTCAAGT